TCATCACCACCACCACCACCACCACCATCATCATCATCATCATCATCGTGTCTGTAGTCGTCGCCGTTGTCAATGGCGACCACCACCATCAAGTATCATTTTGGTCGATTTTTGGCGCAGCTACAAGATGGCGGCGAAGTATCGCGCGCGTGCACACGTGCGCGCACAGGCCGGGTAAACAGAGGTCAGCCACTGCTACTACTACTCCATCAGCCACCGCCCCAGGCGAGTGTAGTTGGCATGATCTCCACGGCTGGACCAATCAGGGCGCTGCACGTGAAGCAGTTACAGCAGCAGCGGCGGCGGCGGTGGCGGCAGCAGTAGAATTAAAGTCGATATTCGTGTGCGCACATTGTTCGCCTAATGGCAGCCGGCAGGGCACGAACAAACTGTGTGCGTGTGTGTGGAAGCACCGACGTCGTTCAGACCTTTAATTCCATCGGACATGACTAAGCAGTCGTTGGCAGGCTAGGACACTGCTCCCAGCAATGGTGTCATGATTCATCTGATGGAAGAATGTCCCGAAGTCACGAGAGAGAGAGAGAGAGAGAGGTTTAGTATTGAATAAGGTACCTCGAAAGGACTGTTAGGCGGTCAGACTGAGAAGATCCCCTCACTGTCTGAGCTACCACAGTGACAAAGTGGGGCGTCGTACACGGATCCGTCTGTACTATGATCAATATGTAGTCATTCCTTCGTCCTTAAGGACGAAAGTGTGGTATAAATGAAGTATTACTTGCCATGAGACGCACGGATCCCCTAATTGAAAGGAGAAGATCAAATTGAGGAGTTACTCGTGCGGACGAGTAGTAGAGTATAGTGTGCCTGTTCAATGATCCAGTGATCGGCATTTGATAGCTGCTTATCCGCAACTTAACCCAAGAAGGAACGTTACTGCTGTCTAAGAGGAGTTACCAAGAGTTGTCCATCAAGAGCGAAAGACTAACCAGTGTGTATGCTGTGGGATTTAGATGCGCTAGGATCCGCTTGTATACTTTTTCGGCAAGATGTGGTTTCGTAGTCGCACCTTATGGACACAATACTGTTGGGGTTGGGGTTAAGGGTTTAGGGTTAGGGGTTAGTGTTCAGGATTAGGGGTTATAGTTAGGGGTTAGGGTTAGGCGTTAGCGCAACTATTTCTCAAGCATTCAAAGTACAACCGCGCATTCCCAATAGCTTTTCTTTTGCATAAAACTACTTGGCCTCGTTGTCTGTGCGTTCCCCGGCCTCGCCTGCAAAAACCCCCTATTACCAGGGGTCTCGTATTAGAGGTGGTTGGGGTTTTGTCCAGTACAACTGTGGCGCGTGGTTGGGGTTTGTTTACATCGGATGGGGCTGCATAACCACATCCGACCATTTTATTTTCACTAGCAGTAAGCCTTCAAAAGAAAATTTGACAAGCATACCTCTGCCTCTGACAAATTCTCTTCACGCCTGTGTATATTTATATGGCCATTGGAATAATTAATCAAAGGATATGGACTAGTAGATAATTGTGCTGTAGCAATAAGCGTCGAAACCTATCAAACATTAACCTACATTTTCATTCATGTTCTAAGGTGCAGGGAGTTAAGCAAACGAGATTGCAAGACTGAACAGTGGAATATAAATTCATGTCATTTCATACATGCCGGCACCGGGGCTTTTGGTTGTGCGCCAAAACCGGTCTAGATCAGTCCGCAGGCAATGTGCACCTTTCATTAATTTTTTGGTCGCAGCATAAGTAAATTATATTCAGGCAGTTCGATTCGGCAAACGTACGTTTTCGGTTATTCTTAATCGGGCCAGTACAGTAATATAGGTCTAGTTAGGACAGCGAAATTTGAGAAGTAAAACAACTTATGAACATTAGTCATAACTTGGGGTAAATATGCTCAGACTTGTGGGGCAGCGGGATAATTATAGTCTCGTTTCTGTCAATTGTACGGGAAGGCGGAGAGGGGTAGGGTAGTCTGACTGAGTCGTCGCTGTGGCGCGACGTGCCATGGTGCGGGTCTGAACCTTCACGATTCAGCTTTGACTAGGGCAATAGGAGGGCTTTAATGAAGGCCTTCTGAGAGCACAAGGCTGGATTCGTCAGTCATATGGCCACTGCCCCCGCTGTCGCAAGTATCCGTTGACGTAAGGACTTGCAGTGTCTTGCAGGCACTATATAGATGGCACGGAATGCTTGACTGACGTCTATCTGGTGGCCGGTGTCAACCAATTGAGCCACGATGGCGCTAGAAAGGGACTAAGATTCTAACGCGGTCGAAAGTGGAGTTGTGCTCTGGCGACCAACATGAATGCCTTGACCAAATTGTTGATTGGCGTGTATTGGGTCCTTAGGGTGCGGGAGTTGCTAACTGATTGTCGCTTCCGGCCTGTGAGCGGCTCCAGTCCCTAGTTCGTCCATAAATCTGATGAATTCCTCGAACGCACCGCTAGCACCTCCATCCTCGGGGTTTATTTCGCCGGGTTTTCGCCTGTACTTGCCATCAGAACAGCCGGGCTATTCGTTAGCTGTTAAGAACTTCCTACAGAAACTGGAGATCGATCTTTTTTCATTTGAATCGTAGAAATAAGATTAAACACGTCGGTACTGTGTGTCCTTCCCAACAGCAGCGTTTCGTCGGAAGACACCATCACCTCGCCATTAGCAAGTCGAACACCTTGCAGCTTTTGTATGAATTTATTCAGCTGGTGGACAGTTGTGTTGGAGCCCTGCTTAACGTTTGCTCACCCACAGACAAGCCGCGTTAAACATCGGTACCGACGTTGGCAGACGTCTTCTCAGGATAGGTTATGGCTGAGTGGCCTTCTTCCTGTGCACACACACATGCGGTACCCGGCGTGCGCAGGACAGTGCGGGCAGGTCCACTCGCAAACATTTTACGACGAACTGGCAGCTGTCCGAGGTGGCCAGTTCTGCTCTTAGCTCTGTTGTCCGACGACTGGCATCGCCCACGCGGTGGGACAAGCCCAGATGTGAGTTTACGGTAGATGACACAGCGATGCAGTCGGCAGGAGGGGACGGAGTGCGTGGATCCAGGGTCTCGCAGCTGGTACATCCTGAACTCTCTCCCCCCCGGAGCCACGGACACCATGCGCGTGGAGGAACCACCAGACCGGATTGGGAGATGTCGTTGTGTGACCTATCGGCGTACCCGCTGCGATGCCCTTGAAGGTATGAGACCAGGCGA